TGTGTGTGTGTGTGTGTGTATGTATGGATGGTCTCTTGCGATGAGCCGATAGACAGAGAAAGGAAGCAGTATGCTTCCTCCCATATTTGGGCATACCAGGGGTTGTGACACTAAATACATAAATACATACATACATATAAAATGAAGACACATATCTAAAGGGAGTCTCTGCATACCAAATACAAAACATAAAATGAGTAGAAAATATTAATGTTTGGAAATAAATCTTAAAAAGATTCAGTTTTGCCGACTGAATGGCAGTTGCCAACAGCACAGAACTTAGCCGGTTTCTTTGCTTCTGATCTGCCAGAAGAAAGGATATAGCTAAAAGCAAATCGATTAAACAGTGAATATGATTACTTCTGTGTAATGTTCCTCTTCTGTCCTATTAAAACAACAATTTAGTGGCAACTCCTGAAGAAGCTCCTAGGGTGGTGCCCATATCCTGTTTTAGAGGCTGAAGTGTTGCCTCATGAAACTTATCACTGAATGCCACCCTTTTAAACAGACAACTTTCCCAATTAAAAAAACAACAACTGGAAAATACCTGAAGTGCCAATTACATTCCTGCAATGCACCAGCAGCAATAGAATCTTCCAAAAGTCCATTTTGGTTCCGAGGCTAACAAGCACCAAAGATTTGCTCTGTCTTCAGTAGGTGCAGCTGTGGCAATCCGTCAGCCTTTTTACTCTCCTCCCCTATATCTTTGACTCATGGCTTACTGGAGGAACTGACTTGGCATCCAAACTTGGCATCTCTTCCAGCTTAGCAGAATCCCTGTAAAATATTTCAACAGCGTGTTAACTGAAGAAAATATGTAGCTGAGATTGCTGGGGAGGAAAGTCAAGCTTTATATGGCAGTATCTGTGTGCCTTCAATCTGTTACCAAGGACTTTGTCGTTTGACAAGCTCTTTGCTGACGTAACAAGTTTGTTTTCTAGCAGAGAAGCTTTGGTGGGTGGGGAGAGACAGGTAAATGTTTAGGTTCTCTGCCAAAAACTACATCAAAAGTTTAAAGTGATCTAACCTGTTTAGAAGAAACACTCTCTCTTGGTTGCTGAATCAACACAATATTCTGTTATTCCATCCCAAGCCATTTTAAAATAGAGGGGCTACAAATATGAATAATAAATATTGACTTTGCTTATTATTTAGTAATGTATTTATTTCCCACCTTTACTATATTTGTAAACAACACAAGGCATTGAACATACCTAATACTCCTTCCTCCTATTTTCCCTACAACAGTTATGTAGATTTGGGATAGAAGCTATTAATATCTGTGCTGCTGCTAATTTAATTTCATGAAATTTTGTTTGTTTGTTTATTTATATAGTACTTTCAAAATTGAGTTGGGCAATTAACAGATCAATTCAGGAGTTCATGGATGTCCTGCAGTCTATCACATCTGGAGAAAACTAGATTGGGAGACGATTTCTAAATCTTCTTCAGCAGTTTGCTTGTTTATCCAAAATCTTCCCTAAAGTGCTATTTGCAACTGAAATGTAAAAATTGGCTGCATCTTGTTCTGGCTTTTCCCAGGTGTTGGCTTGCAGCTGTCCATTTATCTGACACATCTGTATCTTTAGTTCAACAGAGATCAGTGCAGAAATGTTTCAGAGGCTTTGCTCACAGGGAAAGATGCAGTTCTAATCCTCACATCTGGAAGAATACCCATGGGGTATGTTTAAAAAAAGCAGATGCTAAAAATAGGTGTTTTGGGCTGTTGAAAGAAATGTCCTTCTGGGTTCAGCTCCAAGTGGGGAAGAAGACACTGAAGACATGGAGGCTGCTTGGAAAGATGGTTTATTGTTGGACAGGGCCACATGGCTTGAGCCCTGTACAGAAAAGGTGATCACATGTTTCAATGTAGGTGAAGAAGAAGAGAAGGGCTGAGGAAGGGGCTTGCTAGGCTTTTTATACCCTGTTTAGTCCCACCTCTCTGTTTCCTATTCTTGTGTAAGAAATGTATTCTGATTGGTTGTCAGACTCCCATGGTGCCATGCAGGGGCAACTCTCTAGGCTGTGATGAGTTCTCAGATGCCTTGGGGTCAGTTGATTAATATCCCTTCCCCCTACAGCTGCAGTGGAGGAGTCTTTATTATGTAAAGTGGGCTAGCCTGGCCTTCTCAATGGCCTATTGACAAAGTGTGAATGGGCAGGAAGCTACAGACAACTATTCTGTCTTTTAAAGCATGTTTCTTTCTTTTCACATCCAGAGAAATATTCTGCCTTTTCAATATTTCCTAGGATATTTCATTTTTCTGGGAGAGGGCTGGATGATAACTTCCCACAGTGCTGAAACCTTTTCAGATCTTTGCAGCACTGAGGTAAAAAGAAAAGTCTCTAGAAAGTTGGGAAGGACCAGGAGAAATTTCTACAAATTGGTGGGTGTAGGTGGATGGCAGCTCCTCTCTCTTCATAGGTATTAAAAATTGAAGCATTCCCCAATTTTGTATTTAAAAAACAAGTTTCAGCAAGTGAGACTCAATAGTCCTTCATATCCTCATGTAAATAAATAAAGGACTGAAGAATCTTACCCACTTACACGACTCCAAAAAGGGATAAAATCTTCAATTAATGAAGGTTCATTAATAAAACTAAAGTGCTGTGGTTCTGCAGATACTTTCGCTTTTCAAAAATGATTTGACCAAATGCCAGAGAAATTGCTAGCCATAACAGATGGGTATGTTTCCCAATTTCCCAAATAAAATCTGAATGCCAATATAGTCTTATAGGAATTTCAGCTTCTTTCCTATTTTAAGGAAATAGCCCATCCGACCTGGCTGGGGGAGGGCATACAAAGAGCTGAAGAAACTACCCATCTATAAAGATATCGGTTAGCTAAAGCTAAAATCGTTCACTTCATAAATTCCCTAATTTCCCCCAGAAATACAATTCTCAGAATATCAATTCCTCTATGTGACTCCTCAGAATTCTGGGAGTTGTAGTTCCGGAACTACAGTATTTTTGCATGCGCCACTCTAGCGTCTCTCTCTTTCTGCCGGCTTTCCTCTCCAGGCCCGCTCTTCAAAGGGCCCGCCCCTTTCGGTTTCCCCACCCATCGATTGGTTGGGAGAAAGGGAGGAGGTGGGAAAAGGCTGGGGAATGACAAACAAGTGGCCTATCCCGAGCGCCCGTGTTTGCGCGCGTGTCGGAAAAATACGCGCGAGAGCGAAAGCGAGCTGTTCGTGGGCGTGAGAAAGGCGGCGTTGAGCGCGAAGACTTTCCACGCGTGGGTCCCCCTATTTCTGCAGCATGTGGTCTGGTCACGGTGAGGGCGGATGGCGCGTTCTTGTATGCGGGAGTTCCGAAGGCCTTCCCCTTTTTTTGGAGGGGGGCAACAGGGGAGAGCAACTCCCATCACCCACAGCCTGCACGGCTGTGCCTCTTGGGAGCTGTACTCTTCACGTTTTTCTTCTTTCGTTTGTCGCCAGGAGTACATTAAAACGATGCCATTTATTTATTCGGGATATATTTCTGCCTATCTTATCTATGTGATCCTAGGGAACTTACAGTAAAATAAATGTAAAAAAAAGATGCATAAATTAAAATATAGGATCCGGGCATTATTATTTCATTGTGTAAATAAAGAGATTCAGTAATTGGATCCTATCTGGCAGAAGTATTCAAGATGCCTCATTTTCTTCCCCTCTGTCCTGCAGACGCTCATGAGTCTCATCGTATTTTTAGTTTGGGTTTTATTTTAATATAGAATGAAGAAAAAAAGTAATATAGAATGTATTTCTATGCCCTGGAACTGCTTTGGGAAAAAATTGAGACACTGAAAAATGCAAAGAAAAATGGGTTTTTAAAAATGTTTTTTGCTATCATATTTCCAGGAGGTTTTGACGGCAATTATGGCAATGTTAGCTATACACAGTCTCCTGGAGGATTTACATCACCTTCTGCAACCCAAAGCGAAAAGAAATCAGTATGTGCTTCTTTCTATCCAATCTATTTTCTTAAAAAAATGACAGTATAAGAGTTAAAAGTGTAAACATTTCATCTTTGCAGAGGTCAAGAGCTCAGAATATCGTTCCCTGTACAGTATCACAACTATTTTCAGCTGAACAAGTGGATGATGTTTTCAGGGTCCGCGAAGTTGAACTTTCACAGGTAATTTTCAAAAATTTTCAGTTTGTATGACTGCCCATCCCAAAAAGTGACTCCGAGTGGCAAATAGTATTAAAATAAATTAAAAAATACAAACATTAAAATACATAGCAGCTGAGAAGATATCCCAGCAGAGCCGGGAGTACTTGGGGTCCCAGGCCTGGGCAGACAAATCAGGTATTTAGGTTCTTATGAAAGGCCAGCAGGGTCTGATCTCAAGAAGAATAATGTTGTGTAGGGTGAGTGCTGTGGCAGAAAAGGCTCACTTCCTGACCCCCACCAATCTGCATTTCTTGGCCAGTGGGATCTGGAACAGACCCAGATCAGATGAGTAGAAACAATTGGAAAGATGGTCCCTTAGGTCAGTGTTTCTCAACCTTGGCAACTTGAAGATGTCCGGACTTCAACTCCCAGAATTCCCCAGCCAGCGAATGCTGGCTGGGGAATTCTGGGAGTTGAAGTCCGGACATCTTCAAGTTGCCAAGGTTGAGAAACACTGCCTTAGGTAACCTGTTCCCAAGACATGAAAGGCTTTAAAGGTGACAAACAGCACCTTCAATTGCATGATAAGCACAATAGCAACTAAAACAGCTCACAAAATAGTGGTCTTACATGCGATGATCAACTGGCACCATTTACTATCCATGCAGTCACATTCGGTATCCTTTGAAGCTTCCGAACACTGTTCCAGTTTTTAGTTCTAACCAAGGCTGCTAGGCAAAGATTTTATTTAAATGTTTCCTCTCTGGTATGACGCGTTTTCATTTGATTGCGCCAAATCACGATTCATTCATGATGTATACATTTGCGGGGTTAATTAACACAAAGACTAATAGGAGATGCCACTTTAAAAATCTATTTATTGAGATTTGCTTCTATTTCCTCATGCAGGTTATTATTGTGGGCATAATCAGGCATGCTGAAAAAGCTCCAACGAATATTCTCTACAAAGTGGATGACATGACTGCAGCCCCGATGGATGTGAGACAGTGGGTCGACACGGATGTAAGCATTACATAGGTTTCGATATACATGAAAAGAAGTAGTATGATGTGGCAGCTTATAGAAATGAGGAGGTCCATGTTCAAATCCATACTCATTTTGGAACTAATAAGAAAATAAAAGGGAAAGTATAAATGCTGCCTTGAGTTACTTGGAAAGAACATGGATTCTAAATGTAATACATATGTTACAGAGTTTGCAATTTGCTCTCCCTTAGCTCTGGTTCTCCATTGGGATAAAGTAAGATAATGAAATCCTGCCATTCTAGATTGATCTGCATTACCTTGTGAAACGTTGCTGGCAAATGCCAAGTAATCATTGTCTCTTCTTTTTATTCAAGGAGGAAGGTAGTGAAAATGTGGTTGTTCCACCAGGAACCTATGTAAAAGTAGCTGGCCATCTGCGATCTTTCCAGGTAAGAGCCATGCAACAGAAACATTTGAAAACGAGAACTGCCACATAGTGCCAGATAATTCTGTTTTAGCAAAACCACTGAATTAATTTTGAGCTCCCTCAATAAAAGACATTTAAGCGCTGTCTTCTTGTTTTAGCTGTGGCTCTGTCAGATGAGAAGATGGCAAGTAGGTTTGTGCGTGTGAAATATGTGTGTTCCTTGACTAAGGAGAATCTGTATCATTTAGACATTTTTCTCTGATCTACAGTCCAATAGATACATTGCTTCCACACACCCCCCAAAAAAAATTAGCTACCTCTTAAGCAAAATTATTTACTACTGGTACTTGGTTACTAAACAAGTTTTTTTCTCTCTGTCATATTGCTATTGTTTGCCTGAGAAGGAAACCAGTTTAGTTTAAAGTATTCAGCCAACCTCAGTTAATGCAAACCAAGGTGTGGTATGTTGTATGAGCCAAAGCACAATATAGCTATAAAAGAGTACAATATATTTAAAAACAATTACAAGCAGTATGTGAAGTTTCCAAAAGATGACCCAGTAGTGAATTGTCATGATGGTAAATTCCTAAGCACGAGAAAAGAGAAGAACTTCAATAAGTGTGAGTAAAAGTAACAAACTGTTTTTAGAAGTAAATGTCTTACAGAAAAGACATTGCTCACCTCTGAAAAATCCAGTTAGCTTCTAAGATAAGTATTAGGCAGGAATTTATTGTTTAACATTGTGGAAAGTAAAATGATTTTACTTTCTAAGATTATAATGTCACTAAACTCAATAATCAGGTCTCTTATTCAAAAACTAAAAATCCATTAAAACAATCCTGTTGGAGAATTAGGAAATTACTGGTCAAAAAGCCACATTTTGCTCCCAGGTAAGTTAGTCAAAATTGTTAGAATGAGCAGCACTGGCTGTTAGAAAAACTATCATTGCTTTTCCTGTGGAAATAGAATTTTTAAAGATAAGGTTTGTGAAATTCATTAAAAATATTATTGAAGATGACAAAAATGTATATAATAAAGTATTCTTGCAATACTTTATTACTTGGCATCCTTAAAGAACAGAAACTTAAAAGATAAATTAAATTTTTAGAAGAGTCTAAAAGGAGTAAATATTTAATAAGATTATGCACACTATTAGAAAAATACTCTTAGCACTGTTTTTAAAAAACAACAACATTGAATTTGCTGTTAAGTTTACATGTAAAGGTTTGTTTTTCCCTGTAATGTGAATATTTGGAATTTATTTTGAAAAGTATATCTCTTGGGAGTCATTGTCCAAAACATGTTTAATGTTCCTTTAAAATTCCAGAACAAGAAGAGCCTGGTTGCATTCAAGATTATACCCCTGGAAGATATGAATGAATTTACTACACATCTGCTTGAAGTTGTCAACGCACACATGATCCTCAGAAAAAGCAACATGGTATGTGGGCAAGCAAAATACACATTAATTCAGGCTTTCCTGGCCTAGTCACGTATGCTGAGGCAAACTGGCTTGACATACTAGAAGAAGCCATCTTAATATATTGAGATGGTTCCAGGTTGTGGAAGGGAGCAAACTGATTGAAAATTGTAGAGAGCTTTAACAAATGCCATTGTTAAGGTGGCTAGAGCCCAATTTCTATTTTACACATGCAGAAATATACATAATTACTCTAATTGGCCATTGTTTTTTCCCTTGACTTTTAGCCCCAACCTACAAAAATGCCTCAGCCCTTTGGTGTATTTGAGACGAGCAATATTTCAAATGCTGGAGGAAATGATACTTTAACAATGCATGGTCTTACACCACACCAGTGTCAGGTATGTACTAGATCACGAATGAAGGCAAATATACGTGTTCCAGGATAATATTGCAAGATCCAGTTTGGGTCAAGTCTTCTGAACTTTTGGACTCATACTGGAGTCCATCTTCAGAGAACGTTTCTCTTCTGGAATATGTGCTTTGGGCTGTTCTGTGAGTTGTATTTATGTGGTGTCTTCCTGTTGGTTGATTGGTACATTGATGGCTGGCGATGGGCTGTTGTTTCCTTGTGCTGCCAAGCTCTGGGCTCCTAAGTATCTGATAAGCTGGTGGTAAATCTGGTGGTAAATCAGCACAGGACAAGGGGCCTGTTTCCCAGGCTTCATTCATTTCCCTGGCTATCTTTGTCTCTGCTCAACCAACAATTTTAGTAGCTGTGAAATTGAATGTATGTCCTTGCCCATTGCAATGTAAGGCTACCAATGAATTTGGGTCTCATCTGACTGCTCTTTTGTGTTCCTGCAATCTGGTGGTTAGTTTTCTCCAGTTACCAGGTCGATTCTGAGTACGGCAGCATATTTATTCTATAAAGCTTCCTAAACGTCTCCATATGCCCTTACAGGAGTGGTCAGATACTGTTCTTTGCTTCTAACTAGTTTCACTTTTGCACACAAACCTCTCTATTCCTGGGATTTCTCACATGTAACTTCATTGCAATGGTGGACATCTAGGTCACAATTAAGCACAACTAACTTTCCCAACACTTTTAAAAACAAGAATAAAATCCTGAAGTGAAAGGTATTAAATAAAAATGGCCTGCTAGCACATGTACTTTCATTATAAAACTAAACTGTACATCTGAACTGCTGTGACTGTTCATTTTTGTATCACTCCATGTTTCTGGTGTAGGTTGAAAAAAGAAACTTGGATATTGACGTATTACTTTGCTTTTGTATAACTAATAGGGCTTTTTTGATTAAAAAAACTTATATTAGGTCTTTTCTGCATTTGCCTTTGAATAACTGTGTGACCCCTTGCTTTTTGAAGGTTCTGAATTTGATTAAAAGCTCCATGACAACCGAAGGGATAAGTCTCCATGATCTGAAAACTCAGTTGCATAATATTAATCTACAAACACTCAAGTACGTAACAGGCTGGGAAGTTAGGTTTTGACATACTGGGCTGTTGGTATTCCTATACATAAAGGAAGTCATATTGATTCCTTTCAAACCTGAAGTCTACACCTGTGGTAGAATATCTAAAACAAAATTAGGATCAGGTTTATTTTTCCTACCGAGGGTTTTTCAGAACTGTAATACTATATAGCCAGCATAATGCACATTAAGCATTTTATTTTTACGTTTCTCACCCTTTTGCATTTTGTGTTTAGTTCTTTCAAAGAACTTTGCAGCAGCATATGCTCGCTCTTTTGGTAATCTATGTTTTGTTAAACCTGTACACGAAACAAGATGCCAAGTCATCCAAGGCATTTCTGCATATTTTTCTTATTGTCTGACAGGAGCTAAATTTGATGGGAAGATACAGTATATTGCCAAAAGTATTCGCTCACCCATCCACATAATTAGATTCAGTTGTGAGCAAATAATTTTGGCAATATAGTGTATGTAAGATCAAGACCTCCCTCCAAAATGTTACCAATAATTGTTTTTCCCCCTCAGACTTTCTCCCCCTTCTTTCCTAAGCTTCTTTGTAATGACTTTTTGGGAATAATTAATCACTTACATGAATGCTTTTTGTTTTTGTCAACAGCTTTTAAATTTTCTTAACTGATAATTTATTGTTTTATGTATTGCCTAGTAATTTTATATAGAATAGAATGGAGTAGAATAGAATTCAAGTGTGATTAGATACACAAGTAATTTGTCTTATAATGATTTTATTTTTATCTTGATTTTATCCATTGTATCACTATTCAGGATTAGTTTGCATGCTACATATTGTTATAGCTTTGACTTTATTTTGGTGGGTAGTACCAATTGTGGCTTTTAATTATACTCTAATTGGTTTTGCATGTTTCACCCTTTTTGTGTGATTTTTTAAATTGTATATAAAAATATATTGTTCTATGCTGCTCTTTAGTTACAATAAAGTTTAAATTTCAAATTTTATTGAATAAATTATTTTTTCCCTTCCTTCCATTCAGGAAAGCTGTTGAGTTTCTCAGCAGCGAGGGACATATATACTCCACTATTGATGATGAACATTTCAAGTCTACAGATGCTGATTAAGGTCTGATTGATTTATAATAATCTGGGTCCAAAGTTTTAACAGATCCAAGACTGTTTTGCCTGATTTGAGTCGCAAAGTACTCTTGATGTGACACAAGGCTGAATGGGACATGTGGACATGTTTAGAACAGATGCCTCTGTCCAGCTGTTTTGTGGGAAAGAGGTTGCCATGGTTTAAGACTCAGCTTTTGTGCCTTTTTTGTAAATGGAATCATCCTTTAAAAAAGTATTTTTTTACCCATATAGCAGTAGTTTATTCGCAGTAGATATTCAATCTGAGATGCTTTGCATTTCACAAAAATTTTGAAATGTGAAAATGTTTTAAATTTGCACCAACTTGTTTTCTTCTAGCTAAATACTATACTATACAATTTTGTACACCTGAAGCCCCCCATAACTTTGTATAATCACATTATGCATCCTTGTACAATGTTGAATTTTGCCTAACTCAGAAATCCTACTTACATAATTATGTAATTTGATTTGGGGATAGATTTTTTTTTTCTCACTGCAAACAGTAGGTTAAGATTTACTCTTAGTTTAAAAGTTTTATTTTAAATTCAGGAGCAGAATTAACACATAACCTGGAATCTGACTTCATTGTTTGTTCAGTAATTATAGATAACCAGCATGTACAGAGACATTAATGTAGTTTACATATTCAAATTCTGGCTGAAAATGTAAACATTTGTGAGTTAAGAAGAAAATGTTGACATATAATACATGTAGAAAATATAATAAAATCTGAAAATATCCTTGTGTAATTAGTCTGAAAGTATGTTAAAAGAATAATGTAAAAGCTTGGTTAGAATTGCAAGGCCAAAATGCCATTTTTTAAACTCCTGGGGTTTATATATCCCAGGGGTTAAATGATAAAGAGTTTTTGATTTTGTATGGTGATTTATTCCTTTCAAAACACATGTTCTGTTTTAAATTTAAATCTTTCTAATTCTAATAAATTGGAAGGATGAGGTTTTTTTTTAAAATCAAATGTTTTCCAAACCACTATTTGTTCAATTTAAAACCTATCTTACCTCCATTAGTTCAAACAACATATTGACCTTTCTCTTATTTTTCCCATCCTCAACAACCATCCTGTGAGGAAAATTGAATAAAATAATTCATCCCAAGTCACTCTGAGTTTCCATGAATGACAATGGATCATCTTAACTCAACATTTGAACTTTGTGATGGAATGTACCAAGGAGATAAATTCAGAGAATGGAGCGGTTGCAGTCCAGAGTAGAAAGAGGCAACACAGTTTGGGTGTGGGGTGTGAGAGAGGGAGGTTGAAGACAGCCCCTCCCTAATAGTTCACAGAATATATGGTAGATGCAGGTAAGATTGCTTAGTCTGGCAAGATTATATCTATAGGTGTGAAAACAATAAAATAACTTAGTTGGGAATGTGCCCATGTGCTATTTTTTGTTTCAGACCTGGCAATTACTGATACATGCACCTCAAGTTGTTTGGATGAAGAGCATTTGCAGCTGTCTACAGTATCTTTGGTTGGCCCAGATTTTAAATAATTTCATCTTGATACTTTTGTATTTTGTTTAAGCTTGCCCTTTAAGATCCGCCGCCCCCCTCCAAATCCTCTGGTATTGAATTACCTTTACTAGCAGCCTTATCAGCTAAAATTGGTATCCCACTTGGAAAAAGTAGAATGTTTCCTGTCCTTTATGAACTACGTGTTTCCCTGAAAGTAAGACGGAGATATTTTCTTTTGACTCCTGAAATAAGCACTTGGCCTTATTTTTGGGGAGGTCTTATTATTTTTGAGGTGCAGGAGGGGGTGAGTGTGGTCACCTTATGGCTGGTGCTGTGTTGCAATATTTTCAGGGGAGAGCTTATTTTAACGCATGCGCTCAAGAGCCCAATTGGGCTTTTTATCCGGGGAGGTCTTATTTTCAGGGAAACAATATCATTTTCATTTTGAAGCAAGATGTAACTTCTTCACATCTGGCACTCACGTACTTCTCCATACATGACATTTGTTCCAAATTCCATATTACCAAAATACTTTTGACGCGTATTACCAAAAGACATCACTTTTACCAGTAAGAGGAAATAAAATATCACCTTGTCTCTCTCTTGGTTTATTCTGGCTGATGGGGCTCCTGTAGGAATAGAACATTCTAGTGGTGTATATCCCAAGAGAAGAGATGCAGATGTTCCCAAGTACAGCCGGAAAAGAATAATCCAAAAAGGGATTTAATCCAAAATAATCCTTTCTAGACTTTCTGGAAAAAATTCTATGAAGATCCATGTAGCGTTTACATTCTGACACATTGATTCATCAATATTACGGCCCATTTCTTTAATATGAATTTTCAGTACAACCACACTTAGAATACTGCATATAATTCATGTCTCTAAACATGAACCATGATGATATTGTAGACTTGAGAAAAACTAGCAAATGATTAAAGGAATGTAACAGCTCCCCTCCAACAATAATTGGTACTTTAGTCGAGAAAAAAAGATAAGAATGGACAGGAGAGAGAAGTATAAGTTCATGTTATTAAAAATGTGAGTACTGTACTTTCATAATCTTGAAGCTAATCGTGGAGAGAAGATACTGTTTTTACACAACACAGATGAAACGAATTCAATAGTGTTGTCAATGTAATATAAAGGTGGGCTTGAACAATCCATGGAGTTACCAGTCTTGTCTCAATGACTTTAAGTAATCCCCTGAATTAATAATAAAGGGTAGTCCTCATTTAGCGACCCCAATTGCAACTGGCAACTCAATCACGAAGAGAAGCAGTCACTAAGTAAAGCCATGACTGCCTATAATCTTATTACAGCTTTCTCTTTGTTCTACACATTAAATGCAAGGATTGGTTGTAGTTATTCATCATGTAGTAATTGAATGATCGTTAAACGAGGACTACCTGTACGCATTCAATATCAGTGACGAAGAACAGCATGGGAATATCACCATTACATTCCATTCCAGCTTCAAAGAAGCATTAGCACAATATACTCTCATCCCACAAAAACTTTCGTATTCATTTTATGATTATAAAAACACTATACTGAATATTCTCATTAAGAGAGAGAGAACAAAGTTTTTTTAAAAAAATATTAAATAGGAAGGAAAGAAAATTAGGCAGGGTATTTTTTACCGTGAAATCTGGGAATACACGTTAAACTCTCCATTTGGCAAAACAATCATTTAATTTACAGTGTAATAAAGGTTACAGATAAAAAGCTCAACAGTGTGAAAAGGCCTATTACACAAATGTACAAATGTCTGTACAGAGCCCCACACACTTAATCCCTCCCCTCCCTGCCCCAATTTCAGCCAAGCTTGGCTTCTAAGAACTGAAAAGACCAGGTTTATACTATCCCAGGGAGGTCAGGGCCAATTCAACCACAAAGTAAATTCCCAGGATATGTATTTTGCAAGAACCAACTACTTTTTCTTAACTCTTACTTTAAGATCAAGCAAGGAAAAGTTCAAGAGTTTTAAATTCATTGCATCTTGAACAGGTACCTTCACAAATTAAGGAACCATTCCACAGCCTTGGGGAAATTAATAATCCAAAGAGATAAAATTGCAAATGAAATGAGGGGATCTGGAGTACAGGACACACAGTTCATAGTCATTAGCAATTTCTTCCAAGAATTATGTTACCTAACATAATTTTTTTAAATTGCATTTTTAAGAAGGCCTACCATATAAAATGAAACAAAACCAGACAGTTCAGAAGTATCCCATCTACTATAGACTCCAATATGATGTAATCCAATATACCACAGGGAGAGCAGTTGTGGTTGGGCAGAGACCACTACTTACAAGGAACTATTTGGCCTCAATAGTTATTAGTTATAACACTTTTGTGGGGAGATGCAGTTTTGGATAACTGCAAAGTTTCCAAAATGATAACCAGCTCCTTATCTTGGCTCATTCAATTGTAATAAACATCACCACTTTTAATTGGAGAAAGTCATGGATGAAATCTATTGGATCTGCCCATTGTTGTGCTACAAAGGATTGTGAAGTGCCCCTAAATACCCAGAATCAAGAACAGTGATGATCAATAGCTTGCAGTCTTGAGAATCTCTAAAACGGGGGTCTCCAACCATGGCAACTTTGACTTGTGGACTTCAACTCCCAGAATTCCTCAGCCAGCTTTGCTTGTTGACTGAGGATTCTGGGAGTTGAAGTCCACAAGTCTTAAAGTTGCCAAGGTAGGAGACCTCTGCTATGGAACATCATATGGGACAATATACTTCCAATTTAATAGCTATTTGGGGACACACAGTTCATACACTGAAATCAATCGCAAAGTCTTGCTCCAAATATTTGGAACAGGAATGAATATCTTTAAACCTTTTTTTAAGTTAAAAAGAAACTAACTGCAGAATGTTGGAGCTGAGTTTAAGCAATGATTTTAAAATGGGCAGTTTGATGTGAGAGCTGGCTGTCCATTCTTGGGCTCAACAACTTCAGGTTTACCCCATTAAGGAATGCTTGGGGAAATAGCATTAATCTTAATTAACATGCTACCTGAAAATCATACAAGATTATTGCTGAATGTTTTACTCCCTGGTCCATCAACATAGTTAAATGTGGCTATTGGATAATTCTTGTTCTGTTAAGGACTGGTCATCAATTTTTTTTTTACTAAATCTAGTTTTACCAAATCTGAAATGGCCATAATCTTCTCTCAGTGGTTCCAATCAAGAAGGTCAAAAAGCAATCAATTCCATGACCATTTCATTTGGTTTGCAGTCATCAAAATGTTGATGGTAGGTTTACCTTGCAAATGCAAAGGAGTCTACCTTAGACTAAAAGCACTTCATAATCCAGAGATACAAAAGCAACACATGGTATTTGACTTAAATTAAAACCATTACTGATGTGCTTGTCAAAATACTATGGAAGTGTCAAGAAATTCTGCTGGGGCCGAGGGTTTCCTTTGAGACCAGTTGACCCAAAAAGAAAAGAAAAAGAACTGGGACACTATCAGTGGCAAACCACCTGCCATTTCTATAGCTGCAACATATACACAAGGACAGTGCCCCTTAAATGCACAAATAATGCCAGAATCAAAGTAACTGGGCCACTGCAATGTCTGGGTAAATGAAAAAGAACCTGCCAGGCAATGTGGTTCCACAGGCAGTGAGAGATATATTTTTGCATTTCATTTCTTAGACACCTTTTGAACTCTTCTGAAGGTTGGTTGTATAAAGGAGTCACAAGCCCCCCTCCCCCCAAAAAAATCTGGCTATGACCCCCAAGTCTGAGAGTTGTAGCTGCACTTGTACAGTTCCCCCTTCCCCGCCTGGCTTCTGGCTCCTGCCTCCCGGAACAGACTCAAATTGGCTCTTCAGATCAAGAGAGAAGGGGTCGGCTTCTTGCCCGGCCAAGCTTCTTTTGCGTATTTCTTTTTCTTGGGCTCATTCACAACTTCGGGATTAAAGACAGCAGGGTTGGGAGCTGGGTTCATGGCAACAGTGGAGGGGGCAACCGGAGTCAAGTCCACATCCGGGGCAAGATTAGGATAGGGCATTGGTAACCCCCCAATGAGCGCTGTGCCGTGAATAGTGTGGGTCTGGGCGCCTGCCTCATTGTTGGTGGGAGGCAGGCCTCCATACAGTCCTCCACCGTAGGGAAAGTTCTGCATGCGACGACTTGCTGCCTCATCCACAGCCAGGGAGCCAGAATTGTCCATTCGCTTCTTCTGTCGAGAAACAAAACACACGGAATTAAAATATGTCTCGCAAAGACATTTAGCAGAATCTTGAGTTTTTGTGAGGAGGTGGATCTCCAGAAGGGAGGGGGCACATGCTACTCAGCCCAGATATCATATATGAGAGTGAAGACAGTCCCCCCTCCCCCCGGCTCCCCAGAGAGTTTACTATAGATCAAGGATGTCCAAACGTGGCAACTTTAAGACTTGTGGACACCCATGGCAGGCTGAGGAATTCTGGGATTTGAAGCCCAACAAATCTTAATTATTGCCAGGGTTGGACACCCCTGCTGCAGATGCAAATCGGGGTCTTCAGTCTGGCAAGATTTTTTTCTATAGGTGTGAGCAATAAGGAAGAATTAACACACGTTATTCTTGGTTTTGGGCCTGACGAACTTTTCACTTCAAAATACCAACTCCTCATTGTTAGCAGGGTTAAAAACAGAATTAGGTCATGAATTTCAGTCCCCTGCACTTTCCATTTTTATCAAGTCAGATCTAAGCCTATTCTCTAGGCTTGTATCCTGGCAGCTAAAACCTCACAGAAAACTATTTTAATTCAAAGCTGAGAATTTGGTTCTGTGTGAATCTATAAATTAGCTAACCCTGTGTTCAGTGCTGCATGGGTAAAGTTGAATTTCTGACCATTACTGAAGAAATACATCTTAATTTGAATGTCAAAGCAAGCTGTATTCTAG